CACTTAACTGGTGAGCACACGGGCCCCAGCAGGTCCTGATAGCCGCCGTTCTTCCCACTCCGCCCTCCCTGGGAAGGGTGCCCCGGTTGCCTGGAGAGGGGGAGGCTAAGGGTCCTGTGCTGCGGTCCTGTGTGCCGTGGTCAGGACACTGAGGGGCGGGGGTGGCAGTGTCGCTCTTCAGCCCCTTTATAGTTTTCACAGACTTTCATCGGTGTGGCGTTTGATCATTCTAGCAGCCGTCCAAGATAAGGGATCCTTTCTCCACTGGGAACACCAGAGATCGGAGGCCTCCGGGGAGTGTAGTGAGCATCAGAGCTGGGCCCTGGGCCCTGCTCTCCCTGACTGGCCGCTGCCTCCTCCTGCAGAAGCTCAGCCTCTGTGTCTGGCAAACTTGCCATCCCCTGGAGGAGCAAACCAGTGTACCTCTCAGCACCTCCGACTCTTGGTTGGTTAAGCGACTGCCTTCGGCTCAGGTCATGTGCCACTTTTCTTCTGGGCAAGAACTTGGGCTCCAGGCCCCTGGCCCCTCGGCATCCCTGCCCATGATGGAAGCTGCCGCTTGCACTGGGCTGCTTTTACTCAGGCATAGGCAGCCGAAGCGGAAGTCCTAGCAGTCCAAGTGAAAGGCCTTTTCCTATGGGGTGGGAAGGAGTCCGAACACCATAAGCCTCCAAGTTCCCTTCACTTTCTGTTCCCTTGGCCTGTTCTCTTGTGACATCTACACCCAGGGGTTGGGGAGCGGGGGACTGGGGGTCAGGAGCCCAGAGAGCCGGCTGTTGTGCCTGTTCCCTGTCCACGTTTTCTGGGCTGTGCCCTTGCCCCTTGCACAAGGATTTGCCCTTCCTCCATGTTGGGTCCCATTGCAGCTTGTGAGGGAGTGGTTGTCCGGGTAGGTGCTGGTCTCCTGCTCGGGGGGGTGCGTCCAGGTAAGGGCTTGGGGGATGCTTATTCAGTGACCTGCATCAGGCCCAGGACCCTGGGGTTACTTGCTTAAGAGGCAGTTAAAACCTAGAAAGTTACTCTCTGTCAGGCTTGTTCCTTTAGGGTATTTACTTCATTTCTTAGTTGTTCATCTCAAGCTCCTTGACATCTTGGTAATAGTTAGAGGGTTTGTTTTGTTTTGTTTTGTTTTAAGATTTGAGACAGAGAGAGAAAGAGGCAGAGGGAGAGAAGCTGACTCCCCATTGAGTGTGGAGCCTGATGCAGGGCTCGATCCCAGGACCTCGAGATCATGACCTGAGCCGAAATCAAGAGTCGGCCACTTATCTGACTGTGCTACCCAAGCAGCCCTTATAGCATCTAGAACTATAGATAGTTCTCTGTCTCTTGTACTACTTTCTGTGTCAGGATACCTCTCTTCCCTTCACCCTTCTAGCAAGGAAGGACAGGAGTTGGATAGGGTGATACTGCAGGACACAGTGCTGGGCTAACGCTCATAAAAGGATGTGGAAGGGCCAGAGAGGCTCAGCACCGAGCTGGAGCTCCCTGCTCCTCCCCTGCAGGCGCTCCGCCTGGGCTCCTTCCTGCCCTTCCTCGCCTGGGGAAACCAGCAGCCTTTGTGAGTCTCCTTGACAACAGGATGGATAAGTTAAAAATAACCTTGTGCTGGGGCATGCGTGTGTGCGTGTGCGTGTGCGTGTGCGTGTGGCTGGATACGTGCCCTCTCCCCTGCTGGGCTCCAGCTCAGTCCGTGTGGCTTCCTGATGCTCCTGGTGAGCGTCTGTGCGAGGCCTTGGTGGGGCCCAGGTGCTCACATGCTGAAGCTCCTCGGCTTAGGCGTCAGATCTAGATAATCCTGCAGCATTGTTACTTCATAGCGCTGATGGTTGCCACTGGGGTATGGGTGTTAATGTCACCATCAAGAGTGGAAAGCTTTTCTGAATGCCTCAGTCTTCATTCACTCTAACTGGAGAGGGATAATCTCAGAGGCACTTGCGTGGCTTGTCCAGAACCCCCTGGCTGAGCTGTGGCAGCCGAAGGAACAGTGACCCTGTCGTCAGAAGCTAAGGCTCTTGCCTCTCATCCTACTGATGAGGTCATCTGGATAGGTCCTTCACCAAAGCCCCTTATTAGCAATCTTACACTAGTTAAAGCCCTCTGTTGGGGGCGCCTGGGTGGCTCAGTTGGTTAAGCGACTGCCTTCGGCTCAGGTCATGATCCTGGAGTCCCGGGATCAAGTCCCGCATCTGGCTCCCTGCTCGGCAGGGAGTCTGCTTCTCCCTCTGCCCTCTTCCCTCTCGTGCTCTGTCTCTCATTCTCTCTCTCTCAAATAAATAAATAAAATCTTAAAAAAAAAAAAATAAAGCCCTCTGTTTTGTGGTGTTATCACAGTTGTAAGTTAGTTTAGAAAGAGCTATTATTTCCCTGAGGTCAGGGGCTAGGTAGCTACTTACCACACCTAGAATTAATTCCTGGCTTCCTCTCTCCATCATTTTTCCATCCATTAGTAAGTATTTTGCTCTCTACCAGGCATGGGGAGGTCATGAGAAAAAGGTGGTCCTTGTCTTTCGGGAACAAGAGACAGTTACAAAAATCTTCCCGTCAGTCTGCACTGTGGCCAGTGCCCAGAGGGAGAAGGTTAGGAGAAGGAATGACTGGGAGAGGGGTGGGGTTAGAGGAGGCTGGGAGAACATATTAGCGACACAGTGTACTTAAGGCTGGAATGTATGAGACGCTCCTACAAATCCAAAGGAAGGCAGAAAACTCAGTAGAAAAATGGTCAATGACTTTGATAGACACTTTACAAAAGAAGATATCCAAACAACCAATAAACATGAAATGGTGCTGGATTTCATGTACTTCTTAGAGAAATTCAAATTACTCAACTTAAAAAAAAAGTGACCGTTTTCTGTGTTCGCACACATACATAACGAAATCTTTGAAGATGTGCTGAAACATCCCTTTGCCATTTCTAGTTTACTTCATTCTGAATTTCTTACCGAAAAGTAAGATGGGGTCCCCAGCCTGAGCTCCTCACTCCTGTGTTCGCGGCTGCAGCCCCGCACTCCCACACTCCGGGTCCGCCCTCTCTGTGTGCACTGGGCAGCGGGGGGCCCCGGGAGCCTGGGTGCCCTGCGCTTCCCTGCGGCTCCCTGCGGGCTAAGGTGCCGCTCACTGAGGCACAGGGATCTGGACTACACCCAGATGAACGCGCTGCAGCAGCTTCTTGTGCCACCAGTTCAGGCATCGAGAGAATGACAGGAACGAAGACATCCTGAATTCCCTCCAGCACATCTAACCCAGCGTTGGGTTCGAGCCCACCTCCGTCCGTTTTGAGAAGTGCGAGGTGAAGGGCACGCAGGTGCAACTCCTCTTCACCTTCCTGTTCTGCCTGCCCCCAGTGACTGTGCCACTGCGCTCAGGACCAACCCCAAATTCATCACCTGGTCTCCAGTTTGCTGCAGCGACATCACCTGGAACATCATGGTGGGCCCAGACAGCGTGCCTGTGCGCAGTCCAGGCCCCGCCATCGACATCCAGCCTGACTTCAAAGCCCTGCTGTGCTAGGGTACCCCAGGGGCCCAGCTGTGCTAGGGTGCCCCTCCTGTCTGCTGCCTGGTAGTCACAGCGCTGCCCTCTGGGGATTTCATCCATGACAATGTTTCCTCGAAATCTGCGTGGAGGAACGCCTGAGGTCCAGGAAAATCCCCTGAGATGGGAGCTTCTTGTCCATTCCAGCCGCACCCCTTCTCCAAACCAAGGCTCCTCACTAGTAAAGTGTCGGGTGTCAGAAAAACAGTGGATTCCAAGATGCTTAAGTAAAAGGATAGTGGGATGAACACAGAGAAGTCAGAAGACCTGGGTTAATAGGAGATTTGGGGCCCACCATTGAACTTCGCAGAGCCTCTGTCTCTTCATTTGTAAATAAGGATCTTCCTGTCTCCTTTCCCTTCCTTCCAGAGCTTCTCTGAGGTTCACAACAGGTATGGGAAACATTCTTACAACTGTTGAGAGCTCTGCAAATACAAAGCAGTATTGTTTGACTCTAATTCGAAGTGATTTGATTTCTCTTCCATCTCTCCCCAACAGCAGTGGTTCTAAATTCCTGTAAGAGATAAATGCCCTGAGTAGTAAGGTCCCAGGATTTAGAGCAGCCTGCCCTTGGTACTTTGGATAGAGAGCCTATTGCTGGCATGACTCTGGTCCCCTCGCAGGGGCTGCTGGCAAGCAGGGTGAGTTTCTAACATGGCCGGAGGCTGGATGGCCACTCTGTGGGTGACATCGCAGGGTCCGATGGTGCCCAGGGCTGCGTGGCAGGGAAAGGACAGCGGCACCCCAGTCCTGGTGAAGCCTTGACTCTAGTAAGCAGTACTGTGTGGCTTCCACACTGCCTGGGGCTGGCCTCCTCATGGTGTGCTCTTGTGGAGTCTGGAAGTAACACTGTGGACTTTGGGGAGTCCTGTGGGGGACAACAGCCTGCACACCCAGCTTTTCTCTGAGAACCTGGCCAAAGTCACAGGCCACTCTGAGGGCACTGAGAGTCCAAACATGTTGTGGCAGAGCAGGGACTTTGCTGCATGATTTAGGTGTTGGTGGAGAGGGGTTTTTAGAGGTGGATGCATCTTTCTGGTGCCAGCAGCCAAACCCTTCTAGGCACTAAGCCTGGCAGCAAGGGCAGGGTCAGGAATGAGGTCCTGATGAATTTCAGGCCTGCCTCCCCTTTTGCTTTGGATACAAAAGAGCCCCTTTCTCCCTCCTCTGGACTGTCCCCTCCCCTGCCCCCGGTAAGGCAAGGGGGATTGAGCAGATTGTGGCTGTTCCTCATTCCCCCATGGTACAGATGCATGCCTCGCTTCCAGCAGAGAGTTGGCCACCTCGGCACATGTCAGAACAGTGTTGGGATCGCTGTGAGTCCCATCTGTTCTGTCACCTGACTGTGCCAGGTCCTCAAGCCTTGTTGGGGGGTCTTTTCCCACAGATTTCCTATGACAGGCATGTACTTCTCAGTATCCTAGTAGGCATTTTTGACCTTTTCCTCATCTGTTTTTTTTGCCGTGTAGGAATCGGAGTCAGAAGCAAAGGTAGATGGAGAGACTGCATCGGACAGTGAGAGCCGAGCGGAAGCTGCTCCTTTATCAACCTCTGCAGATGATACCCCAGAGGTCCTCAACAGGGCCCTTTCCAACTTGTCTTCAAGGTAACCTGGCTCCATGATGCAGATGCTTGCGAGGGCCTTGCTCCAGGTCCGAGGGCCGTGGAAGACCCAGAGCCCTCAGACAGCCTGCGGTCTTGTGACGTGAGCCCACTGCTATCACAGTGTGCAGGGTGGGCCTGCCCAGCGGCAGTGGCCACAGTCTCCTTGCTTCTGCTCAGGCCTCCACTGAATGTAATCTAGTACTTACTGGCAACTATGAGCAGAGCCTAGAAGGATCTGACCCTTGGAGGGTGCTGTCGGCGGGGCTGAGAGGTATAGTAGTCCGTGGAGGAGGAAAGTGTAGACAAAGGGGTGGTGGTGGGCAAGGTTGCTGACGCCACATGTGAAGGGGTTTGTGACTAATAGACGGGCTGCTTTTCACAGAGGAGCCCAAGTTTCTAGGTCAAAGTTTTCCCTCTCCCACACACATCCATTGTGGACATTCCTTAAATTCTCCCAGAAGAATTGAGAAATCTCAACTCGGGTGAATCCAGGGTTAAAATATTAGTCCCTTGAGACTTTGGTCCTCCAACACTGGCTATGTGAGCAGATTAAAAAGGCAAACGTTAAGACCCGAAAACGTTACCTGAAGGTGTTTCTATGTGTGTCTCACACACATGTGTCTCTTTGAAAGGTGGTATTGTGCAGTGGTCAAGGGCATGGGGTCTGGAGCCAGACTCCCAGGCTTCAAATCTCAGTTTGACCACATCACACCCGTATGATTTGTGCATCCATTTCCTCATCTGTAAACGTTAGTGGTGTTGAGGCTTAAATGCATTAATATATGCCGAGTCCTTATAAAAGTGCCCGATGCATCTTTGTGATTGTTATTATCGTTGGTTAATGTTGTTCTCACCATAAAGATGCAGGGGCAGAGTGATGTAGGATTCTGCTGCCGGAAAAATGTGCTTTGTTTTTTCTTTGGATAGAGAGCCATAGAAGCCATCCAAGTAGATACAGAAGTAGGGTACCACATTTCCCTCGGAACTTTTGCCTGATCCCTTTGTTAAGATACAAGCTGGGTGTATTTTTCTGTAGGCCTTGGAGCACCTGCTGAGTTTGGTGTGGGTGAGGTGATGGCTCTGTTTGCCCTACTTCTGCCTGCATCTGGCTAGTACCTCCGCCAAGGTGAAGGAGGTGCTCCTGGAAGGGATTGACCTCTCCTCCCAGAAAGAGCCATCCCCTTGGGTTTGTGCTTTGCTTCTTTCCGGGCTCCTAACGTATTTTCTCCTTCCCCTCTTCTCTTAGATGGAAGAACTGGTGGGTGAGAGGCATCCTGACTTTGGCCATGATTGCATTTTTCTTCATCATCATTTACCTGGGACCAATGGTTTTAATGATCATTGTAAGTGCTGTTTGCATGCTGTTTTGGTTTTGCCTTCAGTTTTTCCCACAGGATCCGTCGTCTTAAGTGTAAGGTGTTGGGTTGGTTCTGGGAATCAGTGGGAGTCCGGGCTCCTCAGACCACATCTGCCTTAAGAGTATCTGTGACTTCTCGCCTTCTAGGAGCCAACTGGAGGGGTGTTGGCACCAGCCGGTTGTGTGTGGTTAAAGATATCTCTTCGTTTTAAAAGTGGATATTATAATTTCAGCTGTTTGATTAGCCTGTGACCCCGGCTATGACTCTCTGTGACTCTCTTGTTTTGTTTCTTGTTTCCCTGGGGCCTCACTGTGGGGCTTAGGACTTTGATTTAAAAAATCCTAGTCCGCAGCACTGCTCTCTTAGGCTTCCTGCTGTCATGGACAGGGTCAGATGACTAGCGGCTGACTGCTGAGCAAAGCAGTTGGGGCTTTTCAGGTATTTCTATTCAAAGTCAAAAGGGGAAGAGATTGATTGAGTCCAGGGAGGTACAACAATAAAAAGTTAATTGAAGCTTCAGGGGTGCATATTTCTCAGATCTACTCGTTGTGACATAAAGGACTGCACTGCCAAAGGGGTGCAGAGTGAGTGAGAAAGGAGGAGGAGAGCAGAGTCAGTGTAGGACTGACATTCTTAAATGTGATAGTTTTTCTTCAAGGCCCATGACCCGTGTGCGGGTTTCTGTTTCCAAAGATGGTAAGAACTGGGGAATTAGCAAGTATTCTGATTCTTTTGTGTCTTGCAGGTGATGTGTGTTCAGATTAAGTGTTTCCATGAGATTATCACTATTGGCTACAACGTCTACCACTCCTATGACCTGCCCTGGTTCAGAACCCTCAGCTGGTAAGCCCTCTAGCCCCACAGGGGCCCTTAGCAGATTTGGATGACAAGCGTTTTGTGGTAGATATTTACAGTCATGGTGGATAGGTGGGGAGTGATGGCCACTGACTCACATAGCACCTTTAAGACCCAAGTATTTTATGTGGCTGGCCTGTGAGGAGTGTTTAGTAGTTGCCTGGGGTCTCGAATCTCCCACACTGAGTGCATGTGTGAGCACGTTTGCCTTGGTATTTGGATTCCTCAGACTTTGCACAGTGGCCCCCACTTCTAGACCAGCATATTTTTTATGCTCGATCCCAGCATCCCGTGAGAGTCATCTGTAGGTTGTCAGTGCTGGTGTTGCTATCTCTAGAACTTGGTTTCCTCGCCCATGAGACAGGTGGTTGAGACCGAGTCAGTTGGCTTTGGAGCCCTCGTTCCTCGGATGGAGGGGCCTTAGGGGCCCGAGTGGACAGGAGTGAGCCTGAATGCAGAGGATCTGGGCTCCTCAGAGAAGCTCTGTTCCCTCTCTCCTAGAAAAGGGCTCAGCTGCCTTCAAGCAGAAACAAAATCAAAACCTGTAACCCAGGTGATGTCTGAGATCCTTTTTTCTGATCTGACACTCTGCTTTATTGGCTGCAGTGTCCTCAGGGGACACGCGAGCAGAGCTCTGCGTGGTGCCAAGAGGACTTGGGGTAAATATGGACCCTTCTCACCTTCTGTGCTGGGATGCAGGGATTGGTTCCATGCCTTAGCAGCCTGAGAGGAGTGTTTCAGGCCCCAGCAACTTGATCATGGCCAAGGGAGCTGACATGCTCAGACTTGGGCTGGACACATCCTTCCCAGAGTTGCTTCCCCACCAGCCAGCCATTCACGCTGCCCCGTGGTCTCCACATGGGCCTGTGCTTGCCACCTGGGTTAAAGTATAGGTATCTCTTGTGGCTGTTCTGTAGCTGGCAAGCGGTATTTTAAATTTTGTTAATACACTCAGGATGTCTGACCTTCGATTGTGGTCACTGACCAAAGGGAGTGTTTTTCATGTGACAGAAAACAAATCCAATATGAGAGTTCTTGAACCTCCACAATTGAAAAAAAAACAAAAGAGAAAGAAAGAAAATGGAAGAGAGAAGCTCTCCATTCTCTTTCCTACCTCAGGATCCAGTTGAGTATGTGGAGTAGGGCTGCTTGCTCCCGTACTCCGAAGCACCACTGAGGCTGCAAAGGTATATGAGCCATGGCTTCTCCCTTCCCAGAGCTCGGGGGAGGAGGCAGGTTATAAACAAATGAAGAACTAATGCTGGTGAGAGGTTTATTTGTCAGAGACAGGCTTCGCGGAGGGAGATACTCTGAGACAGAGCATAATTAATTGCTTAGTGAAATGACCAAATACTGCATATTATAGAAATAAACATGGGGGGAGGCAGGTACCATGTTAGGTTGTGCAAGGTTTTATGAAGACAATGGTATTTGAGCAACGGGTGACAAAACGGATAAGCGAAGAGGATGTCCCAGGCCGGGGGAGACAGGAGCGAAGCAGATGGTGGCAAAGCCAGAGTAAACCACTGTGATAGGTGTGCGGGGGTTCCTGGAAGAGTGGAAATGGGATGGGGAGGCGGGATGAGCCACTCTCTGGAAGGTCATCTTACGGTTGGAGTGTTCTTAGATCAGGTGTGGTAACTTTACAAAAGAAGCAAAAACTGAGTCCTAAGTTTGTGATAAATGGAGAGTGAGTGAAAGCTGCCACAGATTTCCAGATGAACTTCTCAGCCACAGGGTCTCCAGTGAACAGGGAACCGTGGTCGGCTTGTCCCTAGCAAGCTGCCTCCGGGGGCGCAGGGGGCGGGTGGGCTGCTGGTCTGATCCTTGGGGCTTCCTGACCGCCCCACTATAAAGGAGAGGCCGCATGTGCTCCCCGTGGCAGTGACCTGTCTCCATTTACAGGTACTTTCTCCTGTGTGTAAATTACTTCTTCTATGGTGAGACGGTGACCGATTACTTCTTCACTCTGGTCCAGAGAGAGGAGCCTTTGCGGATTCTCAGTAAATACCACCGGTTCATTTCCTTTACTCTCTACCTAATAGGTAGGCACTCAGCGGTTCTTCTTGTGTTTGTCTTGTTTTTGTATGTCTGCTGAGTAGAAGGAGGGGAACTTCTTGGTGAATGCATGGTTTTGATGATGTGAAGTCCAACTGTGCAGGGCAGCAGAGCTGAGGGCTCTGCCTTAAATGTGAGTCATAGCAGCTCTTGACTAAGAAATGGGACCCAGGGCCTTGAGTGGCTGTGGGGACTGCAGTCTGTGCCTCCCGTCCTTGTGTCCCAGCCTCCGTGGGAGGACAGCATAGCACGGTCCAGTCCTGACTCTCCTGTTGGCAGAGATTCTGTGGTGTGATCAAAAACCAGCAGCTATCTTTAGGGGAGTCACCTGAGGAGCCGCATGAGGGACATTGCAGTGTGGTGGAAATGTTACCATCCGTGTTGAAAAGGGCTCTGTGACTTCAGAGGAGCTGGGTGCTTAATCTTTGGGTCTCTTTTGTAGTCTGGAGCTAAAACAGCAGAGGTACTGGGAGGATTTAATCAGATACATTAAAAGTTGACAAACAGTGAGGGGCTGTCAGTGTAACTCAGTCCTACCTGAGTGTTGAGTGTTAATGCTAGTGTTTGTCATAGTTGCCCTCAAAGCCAGTTTGAGGCACGGGAGAAATTTGTTCTGACCTAAATTTCAGTCTGACCTATTTTTGATCAGCTTAATAGCAATACGTGGCTCTGTGAATGACACCTGGCCATTAAAATAGAAAATCAAAAAAAAAAGAAAATCCACTGCCAAGGGGTCTGTTGCTGTTGAGCATAGTCAGTGTGCCTCAGACCCTGAGACTGCCCCCCACTCACAGAGGGAGGCCAGGGGTCTGGAATAGCCAGCCACATGCTCTCTTCTGGGCAGGGCTGTGTTTGAGGGGCCCAGCCACTCCTGCAGGTAGAAGTCTCTTTCCTTCCTGGACGAGTGTGGGGGCCTGCAGGTTTTATTTTTATTTTTATTTTGCCACCATGTGGGTCAGTGTGAGAGATGTAAGGCCCTGACTCCATACTAGATAGATCCCACCCTTAGCCAAACCTATAATTTAGGACAGGGGTCAGCAAACTTTTTCTTAGGGGTCTAGATAAAATTTAGGCTTTGAGGGCCATAGGCTCTTTGTTGCAACTCTTCTGTTCTGCCTTTGAGCATGAAAGGAGAACCCCAGACAATATGTAAACAAACGGGCTGTGTTTCAGTAAAATTTTATTTATAAAAACAGGTGGCTGGCCTGAACTTTGTTGGTTGACCCCTGCTCTAGGATCAAAATGTTCCTATCTGGTGAACAGTGTTCTAAATTGAGTGTAGTCTGCAAGATTTAAAAATATTGCCTTCCTTTGATTGTCTTGAAGGAGTCCATTTTTGCTTCTGACTCTTACTGTAATAAGAGGTTTATTCCCCTGGGCTTTGGAATTGTGCACTGCTTGGAAATTGGCCAAAAGACCACTTAACATCTAAAGGAAATGATTAGGACAAAGATAATGCAGAGTGTGATTCATTTTGCCCTTTCTCCTCCTCACACTAGGATTCTGCATGTTTGTACTGAGTCTGGTCAAGAAGCATTATCGACTGCAGTTCTACATGGTAAGTGAGATGTATGTGTGTGTGTCAGAATTCTTGGCTTAAGGGAAGCTCCGCAGAAACTCAACAGACCTCTATGCTTTCTGTGACAAATCAAAACTCTGGAATGCGGTCTGTTTTGTGTGCATAGAACCTAGAGCATGAAGGGGTGTCCCCATTTTAAGTTCGGCGGCTCTGCTTCACTCTTACTTAATTTACACCCCAAGCAACCTCTCCACTAGGACATGAAGGTGGCTTCCAAGTAAGGCTCAAGGTGAAGCTTCAGGCAATGCCCACAGATATCCTACCTGCTACATCTCTCCCTCAACTTGAAAACAACCCCTCACTGAGTGTCTCAAGCACTCAAGTAACATTTTTTTTTTAAAGATTTTATTTACTTGAGAGAAAGAGAGAGAAAGAACAGAGGGAGAAGGACAAGCAGACTCCCCACTGAGCAGGGAGCCCAACGTGGGGCTCGATCCCAGGACCCTGAGATCATGACCTGAGCCAAAGGCAGGCACTTAACGGACTGAGCCACCCAGGTGCCCCAGCACGCAATTAACATTTATGGAGAAGATGAGACGTAGTGAGGCTTTCAGAGCGTAGAGGGACTTGCTCACTAGTGGGCCCTGTGTCCCTACTTTTGGTGGTAATTGTAGCTGGGGACAAAGTTAATCCCAGATGCCTGTTCTGTACCTTTTTACTTCCAATAAGAGAGGTACAGAAGCAGACATATTTTCTGTTTTTGGTGTGTTTTTAGCAATTTTCTATTTGTTATTGCTGTTATTTGAAGTTCCTTTCAGTATAACAGATAGGTCAAATGTATTTTTTTTAAAGATTTTATTTATTTATTCGACAGAGAGAGACACACAGCAAGAGAGGGAACACAAGCAGGGGGAGTGGGAGAGGGAGAAGCAGGCTTCCTGCTGAGCAGGGAGCCTGATGTGGGGCTCAATCCCAGGACTCTGGGACCATGACCTGAGCCGAAGGCAGACGCTTAACCAACTGAGCCACCCAGGTGCCCCAGGTCAAATGTATTCTTGATCTTCTTTTACAGTTTGGTTGGACCCATGTAACATTACTGATTGTTGTAACTCAGTCACATCTCGTTATCCACAACCTGTTTGAAGGAATGATCTGGTGAGTGATGTCAGTGAGGGAGATTTCCCTTTTATTTTGTGGGTTTTCTCATGTCCAGGTAGACTGAGAACCCCTGCTTGCCTTCTAAGCCGGGGGTTCTCACCTTGAGCTACATCAAAATCGTCTGCAGGGCTGGTTACAACACAGATCACTGGGCCTCACTCATGAGTTTCTGCTTCAGTAGACTCAGTAATGAGAATTTGAATTTCTGGTACATTCCCCGGTGATGCTGCTGCTGGTCAGGACTTATACTTTGAGAATCGATGTTCTAGACTAACAAGTACATGGATAATTAAAGAATGAAAGACAATGCAACTGTATAGCAACAGGTTTGCAAAACTAAAGGAAAATGTCATGATCTGGTAAAATGTAAACTACCAAAAGTCATGAAGAAGAAAACTTGAAAAGATCACTAACTGTGGAAGAACTTTAAAAATCGCCTAAAGAATCCACACCTCGGAAAAAACAACCAATGATAATAGCAGAGTTTTATCTACCCCTTCATACTAAAGCTAATAAGCTTAGGGAGGTAGAAAGAAGAATGTTAAACTGATTTTCTGTAATGATTACAGATAAACCATTGTAAATAAACTATTAGCAAATAAAATCCGACAAAGTGTCAAAAGAACCATATACCCATTACTTAGTAAATTTTATTCCAGAAATGCAATGGTTTCAGCAGGAAATCTGTCAGCATTTATGGAAATTAGCAGGCTGACTGAGGAAGCTGGATGATCTTGGTGAAAGGTGAAGGAATATCCTAGTTTATATAAGAGGTACTGAAGTGTTATGCTTAAGACCCCAGACTGTGCCTCTGTTCCCAGATCTCAGACTGAGGCTATAGTAATACCCACCTCCTGAGGAATAAATTAGTAAATATATGTAAAGTGCTTAGGACAGAGACTAGCTCATATAAATGTTGGCCTTGGGCATTATAACGTTTAAAACAATGATAATAATGGCCTGGGGAGTTACGCAATCTTTCCCTTTCTTTCAGTTTTTGTTAGGTAATTCTAAGGAATGGCTCATGATAAGTCCTTATCTTTAGGGTCAAACATGACACGTGGCTCTACAGTGAATCTTATTAAAATCTCTGGTTGTTGGTTTTCATGCTCAAACTATAGGATTAGGTTAATTGTGGGTGTAGAAAATATGAAGAGCAGAGAATATGTGCTAGAAGTCTCGATCAAGTAAATGATGTGCGGGGTTGGGAGGATGCAGATGCTCCCATAACAGACAGAAAATATTGCCTCCAGTTGATGGGTCAGGAAGTCAGAGATTTATGTATATTATGTTAAATACAGAACTTTAAATAGAGGACATTTTTAAAAAGTGATGGTCAGAGATGGAGAGTGAGGAGAGCAGAAGGATACAAGTGTGGAAATGGCCTCCTTTTTCATGGTGGGGATCAGCAGGCGGGGGTGGGGGGCTGGGGGGCCAACAAGATAGCTAGCTGTGTGGGTTGTGGTTCTGCGCTCAGCGTAGCCCTAGGGAGAGGGAGTGCTCATGAGAGCTAGTCATAAATCATTCACCAAAAAAGTAGGTAAATTATGAAATAGGAATGAGTAAAGGTAGTTATTTTGGGGGAATGGAGATAGGGACAGGGAAACAAGGAAAACTTTCTCTTCTTTACAGTTCAAATTTGTATTACCACGTGCATATATATTTCTTTATAACAAAAAAAGAACAAATGGCATTTTGTAGAACCCCACCTCCGTTTATTCAGGAGCCATTCGGTAAAGATTTGAATGTCTGCTATGTGCCAGGTACTAGGTATGGCTTGTCTGGTATTTTCTTTCTTTCTAGCCTGTTCCTTCATGGATAACAAGTACTTACGGGTTATTTTGGTACTGGAATTGATGAATGGCATTGTTTTGTTGACATCTGAGGTATTGTCATCTGGGGAGAGTTGATTTTTACTTTGGTTTATTCCCTAGGTTCATTGTCCCCATCTCTTGTGTGATCTGTAATGACATTATGGCCTATATGTTTGGCTTCTTCTTTGGTCGGACCCCACTCATTAAGGTAAATGGGTCACCCTAACATGAAATATCACTGTGAGGGAAGGGTGGTGCTTTCCGTACAAGTAGATCAGCTTGGGACAGAAGAAGTATCTAGCTTGTGTGAATGTCTTTATGTCATCCCGGAGAAAGTCTGGCAATAACTTAGTTTTAAGAGAAAAGCCAGAGGAAGACAACTATTCATAAACAAAAAAAAAAGCTGACAGAGAAAATATCTTTATAGACTACATAGGCACATTTTGGGGGCTCAATCTGAATTTGAGTGTTGTCATTTAATTAGTATTCTATTTTATAATATAATTAAACTATTTGAATGACTAATTGGGACAGAATGGAAACTGAAGGGTATCAGGCCAGGAACAAGAAGACCAAGCACGGGGTTGTTTTAGAAGAAGAGGTTAACAGAATGAGGTGGGTCTTTTTTTTTTTTTAATAGTAGGAAGGTTTTAAACAAGTAATCATTGTTCCCAAAGCCAGTTGTCAAAATGCTCCTTGTTAAGAATTTGCTTTCTGTCCATAGCTGTCCCCGAAGAAGACCTGGGAAGGCTTCATTGGGGGCTTCTTTGCTACTGTGGTGTTTGGCCTTCTGGTAGGTGGTGGTTCCCTAGTGCGTGGGGGAGTGGACAGAGACCTCACACCCCCCTTCAAAGCTTGTCCAGGGCTAGAGAGCTTGTTTCCTGAGGCCCAGGACTCTGTCCCGCTGATTGGTAACGTTGCCCCCCTGAGGGGCATGAGCATGGCATGCTCTGTAATTGGCCCGGGCAGGGCCAGCTGTCCTTGATCTGCCAGTTTTCAACAGGGTCTTGGCAGCTGAGGAGCAGGGCCATGTGCACCTGCACTCCCCTCATGCCAAGGCATGGTGACACTCAGCAGGTAGCGTTCTCGTCCACGCATTTGATATTTCAAGGTTGAGTGATTGGCAGCTGAGAGTAGGAGATGAGGTGAGCTCTGCCACTCCGGTCGAGGTTGTCTCCCATGTGTGCCCTGTGGGAAGAGGATGATCTTCCCGCCCTTTCTGGAGCATTCCCTGCTTCTGACCATCCGGCCAGCCTCTCCTTTTTCAGGGGTGTCCAGCCGTCCTCCAGTACTGATACCCTTACTTCATTGCTCTTCCACCTTCTTCCTCCGGGCTGGCTGTCTCTCACTGTACCACTTCCTGAAATTAAGAGGTCCTGAGAAGAAGGGACCGTAGCTCCCCTAAATGGGAAAAATCTTCTTGTAGTTCTTTGCCCAAATTCCTTCAGGTCTTTCCTGGATTTCGACCTGGGTGTTTGGGCAACTCTGTGTAAAGCCTCAGCAGGCCATGAACCTCTTTTTAAATCCTTTTCCAAATTCAGGCAAAATACTCATGTAGGGAAACACGAACCTCTCATTTAGTGCCCAGCTCGCAGTCAGCAGGGTGCTAGGCACTGTGAGGGACCCAGCCGAACCCCACGGGTGCTGCTTGGGTAGGCTGGCTGGGACTTGTCTCTTCTGCCTGACTCTGCTCTTCGTCCTCAGCTGTCCTATGTGATGTCCGGGTACAGATGCTTTGTCTGCCCCGTGGAATACAACAATGACACCAACAGCTTCACTGTGGACTGTGAGCCCTCGGACCTCTTTCGTTTGCAGGAGTATAACATCCCTGAGGTGATCCAGTCAGTCATTGGCTTGGTATGTGCCGCTCACGTTGGGCAAGCTACCCCTGGTTAGGTAGTGACTACAGAGAGAACCCTCGCTCCACCGCTGCCACTCCCTCAAAAAAACCTAGCTTCCTCCCGCCACAATGTGCGGGCCCCAGGATAGAGGAGACTTGTTCAGGTCAGGTAGGGGTGAGGGCAGAGGGAGACCTTTCATCTCACTGAGGTTCCTTTAGACCGGTGGGTCTCAAACTGTGCTCCCCAGGCCCCTGGGGAACCCTGAGATCCTTGCAGGGGGACTGTGAAGTCACAGTTACTTTCATCAGAATACAATGACATTATTTGGCTTTTTTGACTTTATTGACATTTGCCGTGAATGATGCAAAAGCCGTGGTGGGTAAGCTCGCTGATGCTCTAGTGTGAGGGAGGGCTGTGGCAGCCAACTGGACTAAGTCACGGGATTCTTCATGCCACACACTCGCAGTAAGAATAAGCCAGCTCCTCTCGAGAGTGTCTTTGATGAAACTGTAACGTGATTCATTTTACTAAATCCTGACCCTTGAATACATATCTGTCTGTACTCTTGTGTACCCAAATGGAAAGTGTGCCTAGAACATTTCTGCCAGATACAGAAGTCCAGTGCTCACCGAAGGGAAAGCGCGTGCGCACCTGTTTGAGTTATGAGCTGAGCTCGCTGCTTTTTTATAGGGACGCACTTTTTACTTGAAAAGAACTGACAAACTATAGTTTTTCAGCCTTCTCTATTTGACAAACAGTTTTCCTGAAAAGGAACGAAGTGAGCCTGTCACTTCAAGGAAAACACCTGACAGTGATTGTTACCGATGATAGAATTTGGCTTCCAAGTGAAAATTAGTATTTTGGAAAGCGTATACCTGCCACTGGAGCTTGACAGCTTCCTAATACTTCAAAGCTTTGTGGATGAGAGCTGCAGTGATTTTTTTTGTGTGATTTTTATAGTGATTTTAACATATGATGATTTTAACATAGGATGTTTTGACATTGTAATAGCAAACTGTGTCTACACTTGGAAGACTTAGATAACTTGGTGAACCATCATTTTCTAAATGGCCAGTGCATGATGTTAACACCTGTCAGGTGTGGGTCAAAGAGCCATTCAAAGTGCAAGATACACCAACGGATTTTAATGTTAAGAGCACAAAAAGTTCATTCATAGGATCTCAAATTCCACACTGCACCAAATTTTTAAGAAACTACCACTTGTCAAGTTCTGGTGTAGTGTCAGAGAAGAATACTCATAATTATCTGAAAAGAGGTTGCTAAAATACTCTTCCTTTTTTCAGCCACTTAATTTATGTAAGGCTGGATTTTCTCCACATACGTCAACTAAAACATCATATTGCAACAGACTGAATGCGTAATACTGAATGTCCTCTATTAAATGCATTAGAGATTTACAAACAAAATCCTGTTTTCTTTTTTTCTTTTTCTTTCAAAATCCAGTTTTCTTACTGATTTTGTTTTTGGAGGGAAAATAGAGTTCATTTCATAAAGAGTTATTTATGTTAACAAGGCATCTTGACTGATTTCATTTATTCTTCTCAGACAACAGTCTGGATGTACCCCTTCCAGATTCACAGCATCGCCCTCTCCACGTTCGCCTCGCTCATCGGCCCCTTTGGAGGGTTCTTTGCAAGTGGATTCAAACGAGCCTTTAAAATCAAAGTAGGAAAACACTCTTTTCTGTTCCTCTCCTTGTCTCCCAGCCTGGTCTCCTCCTGTCCCACGCCTTCAGCTACCACCTCCTTCAAAATACCAAGCTATATAAACCCTGACTATTAATGTGTGCTCTTCTTCACCCATGGGGAGTATTTAGGCTGGTTAATTTAAAGTACATTGTGGGGCGCCTGGGTGGCTCAGTCATTAAGCGTCTGCCTTCGGCTCAGGTCCTGATCCCAGGGTCCTGGGATCGAGTCCCACATCGGGCTCCCTGCTCCGCAGGAAGCCTGCTTCTCCCTCTCCCACTCCTTCCCACTCTCTCACGCTCTCTCTCTCTCTGTCAAATAAATAAATAAAATCTTTAAAAAAATAAAAAAAAATAAAGTACATTGTTTCTGGGGCACCTGGGTGGCTCAGTCTGTTAAGCGTCCAACTCTTTTTTTTTTTTTAAGATTTTATTTATTTATTTTACAGAGAGAGACACAGCGAGAGAGGGAACACAAGCAGGGGGAGTGGGAGAGGGAGAAGCATTCTTCCCGCAGAGCAGGGAGCCCGATGCGGGGCTTGATCCCAGGACCCTGGGATCATGACCTGAGCCGAAGGCAGACACTTAACGACTGAGCCACCCAGGCGCCCCAAACGTCCAACTCTTGATTTCAGCTCAGGTCATGATCTCAGAGTCCTGAGATCAAGCCCCACATCAGTCTCAGCACTGGGCATGGAGCCTGCTTAAGATTCTCTCTCTCTCTCTGCTCCTCCGCTCCCCCCCACCCCATCACATGTGCGTTCTCTCTCTCTCTCTGTGTCTCTCTAAAAAACAACAATAACAACATTGTTTCCAAGAAAATTCAGTATAGTTGACCCTTGAACAATGCACTGATCCCTTCCCCCCGCCCCCGTCCTCCCATGCAGTAGAAAATTCACGTATAACTGTTCACTGGAAGAATTACTGGTAACAAACAGTTGATTAACACATATTTTGTATATTATACATATGATAGACTGTATTCTTACGATAAAGTAAGCTAGAGGGAAAAAATGTGATTAAGAAAATTAGAAAGAAAATACATTTACATCACTGTACTGTATTTACTGAAAAAAATTCATGGATATGTGGACCCGTACAGTTCAAACCCTGTTGTTCAAGGATCAACTGTAGTTGGATTTTCAGTTTATTGTTCATACATCTTGTATCTTTCTTCAAAAGAATAATTTTATCATAAGATGGTGTCCTATTATACCCTCGGCATTTGAACCAATACTTACTTTCTGTAGCCCTTAGCTACTCAGGACAGTAGCTGGGCCCTGAGGTGGGACCATAGTCCAGGGTTTGGGGTTGGCCTGGCCCGGGCTCACCAGCCCTGCCCCTGCCTCTAACAGGACTTTGCCAACACCATTCCTGGCCACGGAGGCATCATGGATCGCTTTGACTGCCAGTACCTGATGGCCACCTTTGTCAACGTGTACATTGCCAGTTTTATCAGGTACAGTGCCTTTCCATCTGAACCAAGTTGGTGGAATTTTAAATGTGGTGAAATTCTAGATTTTAGCTACATATCAGTGGGAGTGAAAAGCATCCCAAACATGAATATGGTTTTCAGTTGCTACTCTGTCTGGATTCTCTGAGGGTCCCCCAGCCCTCCACGCGTAGGGAAGAGGGAACAGTAGCCGTTTGGATAATCAGGCCCTAGAAGCTGCTGGATCCCCGCTCAGCGCTGTTTCCTCACATTCTCTTCCAGGGGCCCCAACCCAAGCAAGCTGATTCAGCAGTTCCTGACCTTGCGTCCAGATCAACAGTTGCACATCTTCAACACACTCAGATCTCACCTGGCCGACAAGGGGATGCTGACAGCCACCACAGAGGATGAGTAGGGGCCCCAGGGCCGAGACAGCAGGAGCAAACGGAGCGAGGGCTGGGCTCCAAGGCAAAGCCCCACTGGTGTGACTCAGTCAACGACAAGGCTTCAACTCACTGTTGTTTTTTTTTTTGGTAGAGTGTTTTTTATTTGTGGGTTTTCAAAACAATCTGTATATACAGTCTATGTGCTTATGATTTGGGTTGTGGGTAAGCTACAGCTTTGAGTTGGAAAGAAGTCACGGGGATCAGACCATTGGGTTTTTTAAACAAAAGTTTTAACCTGGAAGACAGTGTTGCCCAACGGGGGTACATCTGCTTGGTTCTTCTTACTCTCAAGCTAGAGTTTCTTTTGCTGGGCTCACTAAGAGAGTGGATGTCCATCTGTGGCTGACCAGTTCAGGGGCACCCCCTGGCCTGTCTTTGTAGCTGACAATCCCCCCCCCACCCCCCAGCTGGGAAGAAGTGCACGGCTTGGATGTCTTTGCTACTGGAGAGCTTTCACCTGGGCTTCTCGAGAATCCCTGCCCTGGAGCGATGGGACAGTTGCCTTCTGTAGGCTGGAGGGACAAAGGCTGATTAATTAGGTAAACATCCTACCCACAAAGTCCTGTGGAGCGTGAGCTCTGCTTTATGATATGGGTTCACCTTGCTTCATCACAGACTGAAAGAAGGCTTCAGTATTTTTTTTCAGGAAGCACGAGAAATTATTTATAATAGTCTGAAAAAATACACTGTACTATTTCAAGTGTATGCAATGGAATGTACTGTTACGAGCCCTTTCCCGCAGGTTGTCGGCTCAAGTGGCTCCTCTTGGGCAGTCCAGCTAACTGTCTTTTCAGGGACGATGCCGTTCATGTTTGTGCTGTAGACTTGTTGCTGCTGAATCCTTCTGGGGGGCCCTCCTGTTAGGCAGGGAGCAGGGGGCTTCTTGTTCATGCACCCTTTGCCTGACCGACCACCCTTGTAGCTGCTGTGTTGGGTATATACTACTCTTAAGGCAGATGTGTATGTGTGTGTGTGTTTTAAAAATCACTTATTCTTGCAGTGATTTCAGTTGTACCATGACTTCTTCACTGAAACCACAAAATCCTGCTTACAACTCTGGAAACCTAACCCTATTAGAGGTGTGACTATTCTGAAGATTACATGCACATTTATATATATATGTATAATGTGGCCGGTTTAAATGTAGATTGCATTTTATTGAAGGAACCTTTTTTCTTTTTACACTGTGATATCCCCCCCACCTCCCCCCCCCGCCTGATAATAGGAGTGAGGTTGACTTTGGGGAGACAAGTTCTTTGTCAGGACAACAAGCAAGGGAGGATAGGAGAGAGAACCTGGTGCCCAGAGGCGTTCAGTTATCCCGTGCCAAGGTGGTTCTCCTTGCCAAATGAGGGTGCGGTGACTTGCTTCAGCACCTTGGTCTGATCCTGGTTCATTCTGTTTCTGTTTAAGTCAGCCGTCCTGCTTCCCTGAAAGCTCACAGTCAGCTCAGCTCACTGCCATGTCCAGCACAGGGTGGCAGGCCCCTCAACGTGGCCGCTCACGGTCCCTGCGTGGCTCGCCCCACCTGCGCAGCACTGACTCATCTTCTCCCCCCTGAGCTTGTACTTCCGTTTCAGCGTGTGGCTTTTCTGGTTCAGGGCTGAGGGCCCCTTAAAAACAAAATGTGTTTTTGCGTGGTGTTTCCATTCTGGCTGTGTGACCCTGGGTGCAGGACACATCCCTCTCTGGGTCCTTGTTTTCTGAGTGCTCCCCTAATTCCAGTATCAAGTCATGTCCTGGGCACCCAAACAGCAAGAGCTTTCAGGCCGTTTCTAAATGCTTGTCCTTGAGATGACTCAGTGTCTCACCAACAAATCTTAAACAGTGGAGGTCATTAGTAACACATCTAGTTTTCACATTGAAGAATGGACTTGGTTGCTGAAACCAGAGACAGGAGGGGTTGTCTCTGTTGCCTTATTCTGGGCATACAGTGAAGGCCTTGATGGTGGGGCCCAGCAGCCCTTGAATAAGGCTGTCTTTGGGATCGGCGTGCCTGGCACAAGCCTTTGTGGAAGTGGTCGCCGAGGGGAGCTCTGGGGTCCTGGGAGACTGAAGCTGGATGCTCACTAGAGCTCTAAGCAAGAAGTCCAGAGGGTCAGCTTGGGTTTTATCTTCTATTTTCCCCACTTGCTTTCTGGTCAAGGAAGAGGAATTTCCTAGCCTAGTAGCCAGGCAAGTAAAGCCACCTCATGTCTCTATCTACATACAGTGTTTTTCTTTCTCCCATTTATTGAGATATTTCACCACACAGACAAGATGCAAGAGACTGTTTTAACATACCCCTGTGCAGATCTTCATGAATGGCATAACTTGCTTCAGATCCATTTTTGTGTGTGTGAGAAATAAAATGTGACAAACTGTGTGCTCTCCCTTGTTGTGACTTCAGTTTCTCCCTTCTACACATGGTTTGATGTTTGCCACTTGTTTTTGCATCATAAATATCATGCAGTCCTGGTTTAGAGACTTTTGTTTTCTGCTCTGATTCTTCTCCTTCTCACAGTGGCCTTCTGAGGTGCCTCAGGCAGTCCTGAGCACCTTACCGGTGAGGACGCTGAGGGCCAGAGCAGCAAAAGCGCTTCCCCACGGTCACGTGGGAGAGGCAAGCCTCACTCCACCTTGCACTCTGCTCGCCAAGACAGGGATCATCCCTAGCCCCACTTGCTTTTGTGAAAGTGGTGTTAAGTGTGCCGGGAATTCTGCAGCATCCAGTCCTCATGCCAAGGACGGCCCACCTGTGCACCAGGTTGGAGTTTACAGGGGGAGCCGATGAGCAAGGGTGTCATGGAAACCAGGGAACGTCTGTAGAGGGCTGGGCCTGAGCATCCTCCCTGGGGAGCCCTCATGACTGCTCACAGAACACCTGAGTCTTTTCCCCTTACAAGCGCTTGCCACCCCCTTAACCACCCTCAGCGTTGACAAAGTACACATGTATGCTTTGCTTCTGAGAGTGAAACGCCCTAAGGCAGCCTGGGTCTTGTTTGTGTTTATAATTTTTTCCTGTTTCATATTCTGAGCATATTAGTAGCTACAGTATAATTATATTTAAAATGTATTTACTCTTAGTGTTTATTATATTCTTTATTTCTAGTTCTATAATGTATGTCTGAAGTTAGTGTCTCTTTCACTTTTAGAAGGGGTGAAATGTAACATTTCATCTTACACAAGTGGACTTTGGAGCCATTTTCATGGTATTTATTTTTTTCCCACTGGGCTTCTTCTCCTGTAACTTGACTTATATTTTTGGAATCTTCCTGCATACTCTATTTTAAAGGAAATTAAACAGACCCTGATTTGAGTCTAAGCTAGTTGCTGAGTTGGCTAGAGGCTGATCTGAATGGATCCTGGAGTTCAGATCTTCAAAGTGTCCGTGAGTCCCCAGCAGGCTCAGAGTCACCCCTGATGTTGATGGGGCTGGGCAGCAGAGGGTGTGAAGGACTCAGGGCAAAGTGCGTCACTGCTCAGAGAACTCAGCAATGGCCTTGCTCTGTAAGGAGTCTGCCCTAGGTCAGTTTCTAAGCAAGTAGCTTTTCATTACTCTACCAGATGTGATCCATCATTTCTGGAACCTCTTCCTGTGTCCATAATATCTTCGGCACCATCTCGGTCTTTCAGACTAACTCTGTGCCCACCTTCCTTTCCCGTTGTGAGGATGTGCTGAGTCGCATTGAGTGAGGAGGCGGGTGGTTTCACTTGGACCCAGGGTTCCTGTTCTTCCAAAGTTGGGGAGGGGAGGAAGGGCTAAGAGGAGGATGTCCAGGTGGATGTCTAGACATCACCAGACGGTAAACCGTGGGCAGACTCACGGTGCTTGTCTGTAGCAGGGGCTCTGAAGGAGCAGCTGGAACAAACCAGCAGCTTCCTGCGGAGAGGGGCTAACTCTTGGGCAGAGTCTCATTATCCTGTCCTTTCTTGGTCAAAACGAACTTCTTCCCTTGATCGCTCTCCACACAGTTGCCCAAGTTTCCAGTTTTTGAAGACATTTGCCACTCCCACTGCTTGACTTGGCTTCCCTTGTTGGGTTAAGACCTGATGGCCTGATGTGTAGAAGGTGCTGCTCTTTGGACCAAGTGATGATGAGGGAAGGTCTCTTCTAGGCCCACCTCCTCTTGGTCCTGGACTCTGCTCACCCACATCTTTGCAGAGGGCGGCCCTCTTCTCAGCGAGGAACAGTTCCAGCTGCTGACTGCTTGTTCCACCGGACAGTGACCCTGTCTTTCTGTTCCTCCTGGCTCTGCCCTGCCACTCCCCCTTTCACGTCACACAGCAGTGACCTTACTTACCTGGGCTCTCAGCTGGGTAGAGGCTATTCTTACCTGGGTTTGTCTTCTGATTGAGACTTTGACCTGTTTGTATGTGGACTGTGTTTTCAAGGGTAAAGAGATCACAGCTGTGAGGGCAGTTTGGGAGGTATATCAGATACTGAAGTGTTGGGGTTTGTAGAACATGTGGGTGATTTATGAGACCAGGGGGCAGAATATGTGGCATCTAGGATTTTATGGCCAGTGGGTTTCAAGTCTATTGGCCATTTGAAGACCCTGTCCCATCTCCTCCCTCTCTCCACCAAATGCCTATCTGATGCCAGCAGTGTGTTTATTAATAATAATTGCAATAATAGTCATAGTGCTTAATATGTGCCAGGTATAGTGTTAAGGGTTTACATACATTATCCCCTTTAATCCAGAAAACAACCTTTGATTAGGTATTACTACCCCCATTTTATAGATAAGGAAACTGAGGCACCATGACAGGCTGATCTCGGTGGTTAAGGAGATAGACTTAGGGCTCAGATGACCCTAGGTTTGGGCAGGTAACTCCAACCTGGTGGGGTCTGAGAGTAGCACCTCCCTCTCGGGATTGTTGTGAGGATTTTATGAGATAACGCATGTAAGCATTTAGCACGGTGTCTGGCACATAGTAAGCGCTCAATAAATGGTAGTTACTTTTGTCAAACTCAGTGAGTAATTTGAACCCAAGTTGGTGTAATGCCAGAGACTGGGTTCTTAGTCACCGCACTGTCACCTGCCCTGCACACAGCCTGGGTGTTCACAGTCCAGAAGATTTTGAGAGAAGCCATCCAACCTTAACACCCACCCACAGCATCTGGGTGCGTCATACTTTTCCTTCCTTTTGTCAGGCTGGCCTTCCAAATGGATGGTCAGAAATTCTCCACTCTTCGTTGGAATGGTTTCCTTGAGGTCTTGCCCACTTCCTGTTGCTCCTGGTCTGGGCTTTCCTTGGAGAAGGAGGCCCTTACCTCTTGCCTGATGGGTGCCTCCACTCCATGAGAGGGGAGGGCCTGTGACTCGCTCTGGACCCCATTTTCCTCTGCCCAAGGACTATGCTCTTTGCACACAGCTCAGCGGTCTGCAGCCGTTCCCTGTATGGGGGGACCTCGCAGTGGGGGAAAAAACAAACCTGTGTGGCAGATCATAGTACTGACAGAAAGCCTAAAAGCCCTGCCCACACCCTCACAACATAGCCAGTCAGGGGCCTTGTGTTTCGTGCTTTCTTACAAGCATTAATGGGCTGGAAGCAGGTGACCTCTTGAGGATAGATGGTATGGGGTGTTTCTGTTGGAGTCTGGGCTAGCTAGAATCAAGGTTAAAGGATCAAATGGGTGTGTGATGAATGAAGGGAGAACAGGCACTGGATTGTGTGAAAAGTCTTTCACTTAGTTTTCCAAACGGAGATGGGGACTTGGGGAGGGCATGGGTGTGCGGTGGAGGATTCTTTGCTTTGGAGGAATCTTGTTGACAGAGAATCCCTGAAATTCTCAAGCCAGTGGGCTAATGATAACGACTACCGATTGACCATGGACTGTTTCCTGGGTGTTGCTGGGGAATGAAAACCAGACTCAAAGGCCCATTGTATTTCAAGAATGGCCTCTCTCCTTCAGTTAAATAGTGAAGTACTGACTATCAGGAGGAGAAGGTCGTGGAAGAGTTCAGTAAGCAGCTGCTGTAGCAGGCTGATCCTGGCCTGCCCTCATGCCCTTCTGAACCTGCGTTTGCCAGGCCTGGCACTTGTTCCCTTTACTCTTGCATCTGACGGACCCAGGCTGTTTTCTGCCTGTAGAGAAGTGAGCTCTCAACTGGGGACAAGGGCCATCTGGTCATCGGGCTGACGATGCCCCTGTGTCAGTCTCCCAGGCATTGGGCAGGGCCTGGCTCCTTGCAGCCTTAACCTTTATGTAGTGCTCAAGGGTTTAGATGGGCTCAGCCGCCTGGTGATTCTGTTCCAAGTGAACTTGTGTCTCTTTTATTACCCCCATTGCTGTTTTTGTCCTTGGCTCCTGGAACACGTCTGGTTCTCACCTCCATTTGGTTCATGGACTGGGCTTGCTGCTTTGGTGCCTAGAAACACCAGAATAGGAAAGGAGTTAAGAATATTTTCTAGTGGGCAGAATGTATATACATGTTTTTCTAAGAGTGTCCTTTGCGTGCTGCTTCCTTTTCATACACAGAGCGTCATGTTGCTACAGCTGGGTGTCTGGGAACTGGCTAGAAAGGGAAAGAGCTGAGCAGACATCAGGGCCAATAAAACCAAAGGACTTGGAGCCAAGGGGACAAGTCAGGACAGGACGCAGAGATGTGTTGTTGTCCAGCCAGAAGACTGCCGAGGAGCCTCGAGGGCAGAGGAGAAGCCAGGAGTCCTGCAGCTGAGGACAGACAGACAGAGGCCAGCCCTGTGTTTTGGGGCTGTGGGGACCAGAAACAGAGCTCAGAAGCCCATCCAGGAAGATTCAAAGCTCATGGATTATGGACTATCTTCTGGAGCTGATGCTGATACCAAATTTTTATTTTTATTGATGTTTAATACTTTCCAAAAGAGGAGGGGAAAACCAAAGTGGGCGAGGTAAGAGGCCCCTCTGTTGGAGCCCTGGGAGCTCTGTGCTTGTTGGGTGAGTTGGGCGCAGCTGTGGACCTGCGCAAGTCTGTGTGCTCTGCGGATCTGTTTAATGGGAAAGCTTCCCCCACACAGAAATGGCCTCCCTGCCCCATTGGGGAGTTTGGGGAGTGTGAGGCAGTCACCTGGGGCCGATCACCGCCTGTGTCTGTCACCCAGAGGTTAGCCTGGATGGACCCTGCCCCCTCAAGGTCAGTTTCTCTGCCCCTCCCCTTGTGAGGTGCGATTCAGTAGTCTCACACGGATAAGCCGGGTACTGACATTCGGTTTCTGGCCCTCAGACACGGGTGACCTTAGAGCAGCTCTTGGGTGTGTGTTGAGCTCACTGGACAGTCCGTCGGGCCTCCCCAGATAGCTGTGTGTCCATGTGTGTTGCTGTGCCCTTTAGCTGACGTGGGGGTTCACGGAGTCCACGTGTATTAGCCACAGCTGACCTTTCTGTGTGCGCTGTCTGGTCTGTGTTGAACAGTACATGTAGATTCTTTTTCAGCGCAGTTCCAGAACATCCTGTATTGTACACTGGGAAATATTTACCTTATTTATATACCTGAATGTTCCTGTTACACAAATAAACGTCTATTAAATTCTGTATTGCTTATGGTCTCTGCTGGGGGAAGAGTGCCTTTTGAAGGCCATGGGTGCATATGGACTTGGCTTGAGAAGGGGGGTTTGTGTGGAACCAGCATCCTTTCCCAGAATGCTGCCGACCACTGCCTGCTTCTAGAGACACTCTGCCCTTGGCCTTCGTGACCTACTCTCTTGGCTTTCCTCTTGCTTCCCTAACTCTTCCTCCTCACCTCTTTTCTATCTTCTTCCACCCGTCCGTCAGACCATGGCACTCTGCCCGAGGCAGTCTTCTCCCGACCACTGAACTCTGTCCTGTGTTCTGACCCACTCCCAGGGCTCCGATGACCACACTCACCTCCACGATTCCCAAGTCCACGTCCTTAACCCGCATGGGCTGTGAGGCCTCTTCAGGTGGACTTTGCACAACCAAACCCAGACCCTGGCCCTTTACCCACACGTGCCCCAGTGTTCTGTTCCACGGTCAGTACCTAGGAGCCATCTCATCAGTAAGCACGGCCTGCCCATTCTACCTTCATCCTGCCTGCCTGCCGGCTCTCCGCAGCCTGGCTACCTCCGCCCGCCCAACCCTTCCACTCCAGCTGGGGCAAGCTTTCTCTGCTGGGTGCCTTCCTGTGGCCTGAGGGCCAAGTGGAGGCTTGTTCGTGAGTTCCCCAGTCTGTACCCTCTGACGCCACACCCGGGCCCTGTTCTCTCATAACCATGCTCCGTGCATGTTCCTGCTCTGTCCCAGCCACTCTCACCTCCTTGCTTCCTGCCAGATTTCTCTTCCCCTCTCGCCCTGCTTCCCCCACCTGCCTAACTCCTACTCACCTTACTGTCCCACCCCAAGACTGCTTTCCTGGCAATACTGTGGGCCTGGTGGGGGGGTTGGAGGACACCCCGAGTCTGCAGTCCTGGGATCCAGTGGGCCAGTCCCACCCAGGCTAGCACCTTGGACCAGTGGGACCCCAAGTGTTTGCCTTTTGCAAGGGGCCTCTGCCTTTCTCATCCACAGGGACCCTAAGTGGGGGGACCTCTGGAATGAATTGCTTGCCAGTAGTCAAGGTGCAAAAAATACTGCACTTCTCTTAATCCAACAAAATCTCACTCCAAGCCTTGGGTTTCCAAGGTCAATGAGAAAGCCAACATTGGTTGTTTTCTCTGGCTGCCTGCCCCCCTGTTATACTGGGAGCCGTGGGCTCGTGTGGTGCTGGAGAAATGGTGGGGGCCTGGATCTCCTGTCCCTCGCTGAAGGCTCTTGTCCCGGCCTGTGAGGTCCATCTGCTCGCTCTGAGGAGGCCCCAGTCAGTGGCATCAGGGCCTACCTCCCGTGGGCATCCCTGCAATCCCCGCTTCTGATGTCCTTCTACCTCAGAGCCCCTGTGCTCGGGTCTGGGTGACCTCCATGCATTCAGCAGGTGCTCCTGGAGTGCCCACTCTGTGCTTGTCCTGTCTGGACGCTGGGGATGCAGCAAACAAGTCCCTGTCCTCATGGAGTTCATTTTAGGAGAGTATGGCAGATGCATGAAAAAGATAGTATATGTTAGTTAGCTGGAGGAAACGTAGCCAGGAGAGGGGAACGCCTGTGGGGAGCGATTGTTTTAAATAGGGTGATTGGGGAAGACCTTGCTACCAAGGTGATGTTCGGGCACACTGAAGGGTGTCGGGAGGGTGTTTGGGCAGGTGCACAGCAAAATGCAAAATGTCCTCAAGGAGCTGCAGTGATGGATGGAGCAGGGTGAATGGGGAGAGGCTATGGTAGGAAACGAGGTCCGAGAGATAGGGGGTTATTATGCAGGGCAGGGCCATTGGCTTTTACTTTGTGCGAGATGAGAGCTGTTGGAGAGTTTGGAGCCAAGGAGTGATTTGATCTGATGTTTGTTTTCAAAGTCACTTGGTTGCTGTGCTAAGAACAGATTCAGAGGGGTGGAAGGAGGAGGACCAGAGTGGGGACACAGCAGCAGCCAAGGCAGCAGAAGACAGTGGCTCAGTGTGGGTGGTACAGTGGGAAAGGGCAACATCATCAGAATTTGCTGGAGGATTCTACATGGCATGGGAGAGGAGTGAAGGATGGCTATGGCACTGTTGTCCTGGGCAACTGGAAGAATGGTGTCACCATTGTTTTGGGCTGAGGAAGGCCGAGGGAGAACAGGTTTGGAGTGGGAGGTGGGGCAGAGAGGGGAGATCAGGAGTTTGGTTTTGGACACAGTAGGTCTGATGTGCCTGTGAAATATCCACGTGGGGATGTCCAATCCGGGGGAGTGGCCACGATGTGGATATTATTCTGCACCAAGAGGCTAGATGAGACCATTGATGGGATAGAGTTCAGGTCCAAGCCAAGCCCTCTGTTCCTTGTTCTGCACTTAGGGATCCGCTTCTTTTCAGCTATGGCCCTTGCCTCCATCCCTTCAATGAGATGGTCTCATTTCTCAGGGAGTCTCAGATAGTCCAACTCTTGGGCCAGGACAAAGGCCTGGATGGAGTTTGTCTTCGGATGGCCCCACTCCCACCTGACAGCAGAAGTGGCCGCTAACTTCCTCCTGGGGAAGAGAGCCAGAGTTTTAGAGGCTTGGGTGCCCTTTCCTCATGAGGGAGGGGTGCCATGACCTTTTTGGTCTCTTGGGAGAGGGTGGCAGAGGTAAACAAAGCAAGAGTGACTTCTGTATTTGGATATTCAGAGGACAGGCCGTTGGGGTAGAAAACCTCAGAGAATGGACTGATGGCCTGATGGTGACATCATCACAAGCCATTAGCTCCCCATAAAAGACATTGCTAGTTCCAAAATCAATCAAAGCCCAGGTTGCTGTCAAATGGGATAAAACCATGTCACTATTCCTTTAATGCCTCTTCTCAATTTTAACAAGAAAGCTCAGCACATTTTCGGGGTCAAATGCACGTCCATCCGAGACTAGGTTCAGGGTTAATTCTGATTTCTATGAGGTGATTGAAGCTGTTACTCCTACAGCAAAGATGGGCCCTCTGATCTTGTTCATGTGGTCCTGATTTCTCTGAGATTCAAAGAGCCTTGGAAGTAGTGCTTTCTGAGCCAGTGATTCTCAAGCTTGGCTACACATTAGAATCACCTGAGGAACTTGAAAAAGAATCTCAGTGCCCAGGCAGCACCTCAGACCAATGACCCCAGAATCCGGGTGTTTTAAAGAAATTCCCTGGGTGATTCCGATGTGCAGCCAAAGTTGAGAACCAGTGGTTGAAACTCCCTCCGGTGAGTCTGTCCCCTCTCAGACGCCCCCTCTCCCCCTGCAGGTGGTCAGCACCCTCTTGGGGGAGCATCTCCAGTGGAGAGCCCCAGGGTGCCAAGGTGAGGTGAGCCTTCTGGATGAATCACTGGAATGGTGCTGCACACCACGGCCACAGTGTAGAATGATGTGCCTCCTAGCACCTCCACCCAGAGCTCATTCTGTCTTCTTGCATCTCAGAGACTGAGTCTGCTTCTATTTTGCTTCACAAATACCCATAGTATTTGCTATGTGCCCCCAGGTAGCTCCTGTCCTTGCCACCCAGCCTTCTCTTCCCCAGCTCCCCATCTTCTGCCCTTCCTTCTTCCTTATGAGAAATGCCTTCTGCCCCTTCCCTCTGCTAACCAGTGTCTGGACACACACAGGCTTATCCTTTTTGAGGGTCCCCTCTCGTTGCCTGTAGTTGTGAATATGTGTGCACATTGGTGGGGCTGCACAGGGGGTCCTGTGGGAACTGAGACCCCTAGTCGCTGCCACCCAAGAGGTAGCTTCTTCCTCCTCTCATCTCAAGGGTCCCCGCACTGCGTACCTGCCAGAGTGGTTGTGATTATCGTCATGAAGAGGAGCCCGGGAGGGAGCCCTGGGGATCATACATTTGTGGTCTCCTACAGACTCCATCAGTTGCCAGCCACTGTCGCAGGAGAGCTATGGTTGGTGGCTTCCTGAAGGGACAATTAACTTTTTATTCAAAATAATTTCAGATGTACAAAAGAGAATAATGTAAAGAACTCCCTACATACTTCACCCGAATTCCTCAAATGTTAACATGTTACCAATTTAATTATTCCCTCTCTCTTGCTCTACACACACACACACACACACACACACACACACTTTTTCAAATTGTTTGAAATTATAGACATCATGCCCCTTTACGGTTATGTAACCTTATTCAGATTTCACCAATTATTGCAATAATGTTCTTCATAGCAAAAATAATACATATAGTTTGGACTGATCTAATTTATCATTGTCAGTGGCTCTCAGTGGCTTTGAGAATGAGAAATACCATCCCTGCCCCCGCCCCATGTCCCCCCAACGCTGCCACCACTTCCTGGTCAGGTCGAGTCACTCAGGAGGTGTAGGTGACCTGGGTGCCCAGCACAGCGGAGCAGTGCTGTCATGAGCCCAGCAGAGGGCAGCCGTGGGTCACAAGCCAGGCACAGGGCTTTGGTGTGAGACACCGCTGGGTGGAATCCTGGTCCGGGGCCACCAGCTTTGTGCCTTGAAGGAAACACTCCACCACTCCGCTTCCTCCTCTACAAAATGGAGATAGTTGAACAAATCTGCAAAGCACTTGTCCAGGACTTAGCACCTACTACGCACCCATCAGAAACTTATTTGTGATACTACCCACCCTGGTCTGAGAAGTGAATTTCTGGGGGATGCAGGGGAAGGAGCTGGTACCCATGCTCCTCCGAAGGCAGGAGCAGGGCCGGACACCCGGGCTGATGCACAGACCAGGCAGGAGGCTCTCGGGAAGGAAGGCAGAAGGAACTGAAGTTATCCCAGCAGCTGAATTACTGACCCTGGGCATCCCAAGGTCAGTTAGATCTGAAATTCTCCCTGGATGCTGATTAAGCATGTCAGGGCATTGCGCAGATTCCCACGTGGTGCTGCAACCCCCCCTCTGCGGAGGCCTTCACAAATCCACAAAGGAGGCATGGCTGGTCTTCTTTTCCATTGTGGCTGGGAGAGTGACCGACCTTGTCTCCTCACTCCGTCATTTCCTGGTGTGACCTGATGTGACCTGGGGGCTTCGGGC